TGATGTAAGTACTGGGGCCTGAACCCAGGACCCCGGGCGCGGCAAGCACGCGCTCTGCCGCTGCACGCCGGCTCCCCGTCTCGCTCAGTTTTGAGTCAGGTTGGTTTTTTATTGCTGCTGCTGTTACTGAATTTGAGGAGGACGCTATATATCCTGGCTATTAATCTGGTAGCAGATGCACGGTTTCCAAACATTTTCTCCCGTCCTGGGGCTGCCTTTTCACTCTGATGATCATGCCTGAAGCACAGAAAATGCTTAGCTTTTCATGCCGTCCCATCTGTCTGTTTTGTTGTTGTTGTTTGTGCCTTTGGTGTCACAGCCAAGGAACTGCTGCCAGATTCCAACTTGGGGGTTTGTGCCCCATGTTCTTGTGAGAGTTTTACTGTTCAGGTCTCACATTTAGATCTTCGACGCATTTTGAGCCAGCTGCCGTTTGCTTTCGTACGCGAGGTCGGCTCAGCGCCGTCCCTCCGCGCGGGGACACCCGGGTCCCTGCACACTTGTGGAGGAGACAGTCCTTCCCCCCCGGGAGTGGTCTCGAAACGCTCGTCACCTAACTGCGCGTGACCGTGCTGGCGGTTACGAGATGGTGTGAGCTTGTCAGCTGCACGCAGGGCGAGCGTCCCTGAATGGGGGGGCTGGATTCCACTCACCTGCTGTGAAGCTCAGGCGAGCCACGCTTTCCTCCTCAGTGGGTTGGACTGGACGGTAATTGTGGGGATTAAGCACCCAGGACACCAGACCCGGGCTCTGTCAGGGCTCAGGACTCTGTGCTCCCAGCATCAGACACAGCGGAGCCCCGCATCCATGCACCTGGGCCTGCCGAGGGCATTACAGCTGCGTGGACTGTCTGTCCCTTTGCCCGGAGCCACCGTGGCTGCTGGGAACAGTGCCTCCTGCGAAGCACACAGCTTCTGGGCGCCAAGGGCAGCGGTGGGGCACAGGGACCCAGAGTCACTCACACCTCATTCTGGGCATTTCCTGCTTCCAGCCATGGGGTCCGAGCCCCAGGAGAGAGACAGATGGTCAGTCAGGGCTGCCGGCGGCTCAGACAGCCCCGACCTCTTCATCCTTCACGGGGACCACCTGACAGTGTCCCAGGTGTCCCCGAATCCCCTCTGCTGTAATGAGCAGTCTTCTGAAACAATCCGTCCCGTCCGCTGGGCCAGTCCTACAGGACACACAGGCCAAACGCCTGATGCTGTGGCTCGAGGACATGTCCACAGCCCACGCGCAGTCCTTCCCAGAGGGGCCGGGGTCACCGAGATGGTGGAAAATTGTTCAGTGCAAGACAAATGTCAGCTACCGCCCATTTTCAAAGAATCTTTATTCTGAGCTCGGGTTTAAGACTTCTCTCCACGGTTCTGTCCAGTCCCCCAAAAGAATCTGAGAATACAGATGAATATTGACCGTTACTACAGATCGTCAAAGCGTTCAGATCAATCCCCATTCACCAGCATCCCTTCTTGCCTGACACTTCGTGTAGTGCTGGCAGGCTGAACCGTTCAGTGGAGACCAGCCCAGCACACGCACAGCAATGGAGGGAGGCTCCCGTCTGCACGGTCATCCTCCGCGGAGACTGGGTAGCCCTTCCCTAAACGTCTGGGACAGTCGGTTCCCAAAGAGGCAAAGGAGCAGTGTGTCCCGGCAACTCGCACCAAGAGACACCAAGATGGCATTTTCACTCTGCAAAACCCTCACAGGCAGAACGTGGGAGGCGGCGAGGCCCGCCGACGTGCTGCGGGCACGTGCACGGGCTCTGTGATTGGAGGCCCCCAGTCTTCATGCCCACTGTGGACACAGAAGGGTGCTCTGGAAGGTGTCTGGAGGTCTCCATGTTGAGACAGGAGACGCCAGGACTAGGGAGACCTTTCTGCCGACAGAACGCGCCTGTGCGGCCAGACGTCAGTTCCAAGCAGGAGACGGCTCTGCAGGTGCTGCGCCCTCCCCCCGGCCGCGCAGCTTAGCAGGGCGAGGGCGCTGGGGCGTGATTCGGGGAAGCTTACCAGCATTGTACACCGTTTCTTCGTTTCGCTGTTCCTCGTGGAGACGTGGGCCTTGTGAATCTCCCTCTCTGTGGGGAGCACTTTCCCCAGGAGCAGGAGTTCTGCGAGGAAGCTTCTCGCTGGGGTGATGGGAGGGCTGGCTGGCTCTCGGGGAGACTCCCGGCCTTTCTCTCCTCCTGCTCTGATTTCCTGACCTGTGTCCTGATGGGGACCCAGCAAGCAGGTGGCATGTCGCCTGTGCTTGTGGTTAATGCCTCCCCAGCAGTGTAGCTCTGAATTCACTTGACAAGTGGCCGGTGGCCTCGGCCCGGGGCCAGCCCAGGGCTCCCCACAGCCACCAGTGCTGCGCTTGGTGCTTCTCCGAGTGCTGGGCCTGCTGGGCCCACATTGTCTCCTCGCCCCAGATTGTGTGCCGGGCAGATCCTTTCAGAACACAGGCATCATGAGCTTTGGGGACAGTCTGAAAGGGAGACGGTGGCCAGGAAAACCTGCCTGGGGCCACTTCAGGCTTCCGTGTCTCTGTGGCAGCTGTGGTAACACACGGTCACATTCGGCCACCACCCGGCAAGACCTGTGATCCTGCAGAGAAGCAGGGACACCTCTCCTGTGCCCCTCAGAGCCCAGAGGTAACTTGCAGGGTTCTGGCTTTTGTAGCGAAGCGCGGTGAAGTGGTGAGGGCCAGGGCCTGCTTCTCTGCGACCTTCTCGTCATGGGGCCATGCCCAAGCAAGGAGCCCACCGGTGCCGGTGATGCCCTGACCCTTGACCCCACCCGGAGAACAGTGCCCCTCCTGGGCCAGACCTATGTGGCCCAGCAACCGAGCCATGACCAGACGCCAGGCGGCCTGTTAAATCCAGCCAGCACCAGCATGTGCCTAACACTCACATTTCCATGAAATGTGCTCTGACATGTCTGCCTCGCATGGCTGACCCCCCCAATGGTTCGCGGTAAGTGTCCACTGAATCAGTGGACATGTAACTGAATCCCACCTTCAAAGGAGCACAACCAAAACATGAAGTTCCTCGGGAAAAGTGTGCTCTGCTTTTTATCCCCCAAGGATGTCCTGACTTACAGGATGGCTCTAAAGAGCCCCCAGGCCCTTTGTCAAAGCCACAGTCACAATGGGGGCCAATAGCAAGGCCACCACTTCCCACATGGGCCAAACACGCCTGTTGTGGGTGGGCGTCCTTTAAAGAGCATCTTCCATGGAGAAACTTTCTTAGAACCGTAATGGCCGAGCTTCCGTGTCCACAGCCGTCCTGCCCTTTCTCCTTTGACTCTTGAACCAGCCACACTCTGGAACCTGACCTCAGGGAGGACCCAGAGGTGCAAGCCAGACGACAAATTCCTGGAGGTGCCGAAAAACGGGATCCACGGAAGCTGCCAAGCTGCCCAAGTGCCGCTGTTGGAGACGTGTCCTGCGCTGCCCCCTCGGCACCCCTGGCTCACCCCTTCCTGCAGGAGGCTGGCTTGGCTGCGTCTCCCCACTCAGAGGCTGGCAGCTCCCATCCTAGCGCCCAGGTGTCTCAACATCTCCTCTCTGCGTAATGTCAAACCACGTGTCCTCGGAGGCCTCTGCCGGTCGCCAGCCACCCGTGCAGGTCCCATTGGGTACATGCTCCCAGATTTGACACCACACCACGCTCCTGGTCTCCAAAGGGACAGAATCAGCCTTCAGAACAAGGATTCACTTTTCAAAGTGTTTTAATTACAAATGTGGTTTTGGAGCTTGGACACACAATGACGACACCCTCTCGCTGAGAACCCACCGCTCCACACAACTGCGTGTGCACATGCGTGAGACTGTCTTCCATTCAAAGAGCTCTAGCGTGGACGGGGCTGGCTTGTCTGCAGACAGAGGTCGATCACTGGGCGCAGACCGTGCAGAGACGGACGGCACAGCCGGATGCAATCCGCTCGGCCCTCCCCCGGTGCCCGGCCCAGGCCCGTGTGTTCCATACGTGCATGCTGGGGAGACGGGGCCACGAGGGCCGTGGGGACAGGTGGACGTGAGCGAGGACTCCTGCTTGTGGCGGGGCATGGCCTGCGGGGACTGGGGCCCCGGTGACAAGAGGGGCAGCCATGGCCGGAGGCGGGCTCCCTTCAGGGTCGGGAGCCGGCTGGGGACCTTCGGTCAAGGACTCGGTGTAGCGGGCCACCCTCGGTTGTCGTGGTAACGCTTCATTTTGGACAGTGTACGAGTGGTGATTAACACGTACCTTGCTCTTCAGCAAAATACTATTCAAGCAGTTTTAACTTAAATATTTCAAAAGTAATCTTTACATTATTGAAGACTGGTAAAAAATACAGACTCTGACAACTTCTCATTTCTTTCAATCTGACGCTTTGAAAACCTTCACTTTGGGGTCACCACAATTTAGACAGCGACTCCCAGCCTTTGTGAAGCTGCGTGCAGGGTTAGGATCCATCTTTTCCTGTTACTGCTTCACATTCAAACGCTTTCAGAAGCCCTCTGTCGCTGCATGGCAAGGAGGAATGTGGACCCCTGCCTGCTACTTCCTTCAGTTATAACTTTAATAATTAAGAGGGTGCTGTAAGCTAAGCGAGCCCAGCCGGCCTCTGTCACATGAAAGGGAGCTGTAAGAATTTTCCTTTTCAAACCTTAATGGAAATATGATGATCCCAAGTGAAGCTTTATGAAGAGACTGCAACAGTAGTAAAATGTTTGGCAATCAATAGTTAATTAGAATTAAATCCTCAACCAGGGACAGTGCTATCTCCACGAACAGCCCTTGGAAAAGCTGGTTTCTGCCATGACCGAAGGTCAGAGCAGCCGCTCGACAGAGGCCAGCCTCTCAGTCTCGGGTCCGGGGGTCGGTCCAGCCCCTCAGTAGATGTCTGGGCAGCCTGAGAAATCCCGCTCAAAGTAGCCCCCTGTGTACAGCCAGTCGGGGGTCCCGGTATAAGGGTTACTGCCTCGGTGAAACCACCTGCGACACAGAGGAGGTGGTCAGCAAGCCAGCGGACACAGGGACACATGGCTGTTGGTCTTTTCTTCAGCTTAGTGTGACCCCTCTAGGTAGGCAGCACCAGGGTGGGTGTGGGCCCCCCTCTGCCCCAGGTGGGGGGGTTATGTGGACCCCCCTCTGCCCCAGGTGGGGGGGTGGTGTGGGCCCCCATCTCTGCCCCAGGTGGGGGGTGTGGGCCCCCTCACGCCCCCCGGGTGAGTAGGTGTCCATGCCCCTCCCCGCCCGTGGCCAATGGGTGCCTCACCGCGTCTGCCACTCGGCCTCCTCCCTGGCCCGCTCCCGCCGGGCCTCCCTCTGCTTCTCCTCCAGCCGCTCCTTCTCTTGGCTTGCCAGGTCTAGGGCGCAAGCACAGGGTCAGGGTGAGGACTCAGGTGACAGGCATGTCGGGTGCACGTCGAGCAGGCCGGGGGCTGAGACAGCACACACGGGACCCCTCTCCGACCCCAGGTGAGAAGCCGCACTTAGGGGAAGAAACCACAGACGTAAATTCCGTCACAGGAAACCAGGCCTGAGAGCAGGACGCGGCGAGGCCCAGACCTCGGCACAGCGGGCTGGACGGGTAGTGCGTTCCTGGACACCAAGGGCAGGTGGGCGGCTCGGCGGCCTGTCTCCCCTCGGGGCGGCGCCTGTGGTGACCCCCGGGGCACAGCGCAGGGCCACCTCCCTCAGGGATGACGGGCCACCGGACCTTCGACCCTGGGGGGCACTGCTGTGCTGGTTCCCGAGGCACCACCGGCCTCACTGGAAGGAGCGGGGAGCCACCCATCAGCCTCCTCCACAAGCACTTCCTTTACTGGAGCCACCGGGACACACCCCGGTCACACGACAGATGTGGCGCATGGCCTGGCCGACGGCAAGCCACGTGCAGGAAGCAAGCACAGGGGCCCCCGGCCGGTCAGCGTCCTCGCAGAGAGGGGCCAGCGTGGGACCAGCATCTGTCACAGCCCCGGGGCTGACCGGATCAGGGGCTTCCCTGATGCGTGACCTTTTTATTTGAACGTGTGTTTATTCTAATACTTGGAAAACTCTTTATTTTTGATCTAAAGGTTATCGTTAAAACCGGAACTTAAAACAAAACCTTCAATCTGCGTCTGTTTAAACAGAATCATTAACTCCACCCTGGGGGCTGTAAGCCACAAACCAGTGTATTCCCCTTTCTTTCCCCTTCACTCCTCAGTTCAACCTGAGTCGTCATTTTCCTTTTTCCTTTCTTTTCTCATATGTAAGTTACAGTGGACAATACACTGATGCGCAGTTGCTAAAGGTCACGCTCCACTTGTAATGATCGCAAGACGCTGGCTGCACGCCCTGTGCTGCTCGATGCGCCCTTGTTGCTCCTTTTATACATAACAGTCGGTGGCCCTGAATCCCCTGTTGCTCACATGCTGCATGGCTTTTAAATAACATGTCTGGTTTTTGAAATATCACCTTATTCTCTGTCGAACCTACAAAGAAAATAGGAGACTTGGATCTTGTAGGTATTCATTTTCATTCCATGTTTCTAGTAATGCAATCTTATTTATAAGAGGACTGGTCTAGGCCAGGCTAGGCATGTTCTCGTTCGCCACAGGCATCCGGGCAGCACTGTCCTAGAAGGTCTAACGCTTGCTTGTTTAGTTGAACCAACTGCATCCCTCTTCCTGCATCTGCAGGTTCAGCCAGGCCTGGGCGCCCCGGCTCCCCCGCCCCGCCACGCACACGCCCGCCCCTGCCGGAGACGCACCCATGTTGCCGTTCTCCATCCCTCGGATGTCGGGGCGCAGGCGGCAGTCTGTGGGCGCCAGGATCTTCTCCATGCCTGTGTGCAGCTCGTTGAGGCTGACCGTGAAGCTGGTGAAGTTATACATCTGCAGGGACAGGGACAGGGGTGTCGCCATCAACGGTGCCCTCTTCTGTGCACCGCTCACAACTCGAAGCCACAGACACTCTGAACCTCTTCAAAGCAGTGAGCATCACTGGGTCACTGGAGGTGCTCCTGTCAAGGTCGCCCAGGGCAGGACATGTGCTTGCTGGGTTGGCTCTGGGGGCTCCCCTCCAACCCCTGGGGGGTCTCCCTTCTTAGGTTGCCCAGACCCTCACCCTGACTTGCAGTCTGCACGGCTGTCTGCTCAGTCTCCTGTGGTGTCTGAGAGAAACAAACTCAGCACCTCTGACAGCCGGGACCCTGGGACCCGCCTCCCCCTGGACGCCCCCTTCTGTTCTTGCCCACGGGTCCCCTCGCTGCTCAAATGACCCCATGGTGCCCCACGGACAGTGGAGCTCCTGCTCGGGCCCCGGCCGCCCCCTCTGCCCGACCAAGGCCCAGTAGCCACACGGTCCGCCCTGCCCCCCCAGGTCCTTGCTCAACGTCTCCCCGTCCCAAGGAGGCCCACCTGCCACTCCATCAGCACTGACGCCAGCACCCCAGGCCCCACGCCGGCCTGCTCCCCAGGCACCTCCTAACGGCCCGGCCTCCCTGTGGGGCCGGGGGCTGGGTCCTCACCTGCCTCTTCTCTGCTTGTCCCGCCCCCAGCGACTGGGCCCACTCGCGCCGACTCAGTAAATACTCGCAGAGCCAAGGGATGGAGCGCCATTTTTCAACATCAGCTTTTTTTCCCTATTATTTTATACTATCTTGTATTCTACTAAAGTTACAACAGTGGCTGTGCTGAGGTAACGTATTTATCGGTGAATGTTTCATTTTGTTTCCTTTATTTTACACACTGTGCTTTGCTTATAGGATGTGATATAAGAAAAATTTAACGTACGTTGTATATGTATTATATATACAAACAACATACAACTTACACACTAAAATAACGTGTAATTCATTACACGTTATTATATTCAATCATTGCATTATTTTTACATATTCTACATCATTGTATGTAATATAACAAATGTATTAGATGTAACCCAAATTATAAGCGCAATTTTCCAAAATAAGTATCAAAATGTATTTAAGCACCTAAATAGACAAGTCAGAGAGATATCCTCAAAATCAATTTGGAAACTATTTCGGTCAGGTGCTGCCAGTGTAGACCCAGGGCACGCAGTGTGGCGCGGGTACTGTGGTGTGTGCATGGGCCGAGTGTCACCGTGATGCGTTGGGCGGGGTCAGGACCTGGCTCTGTGAGGGCAGGGAGCCCCCAGGTTACAAGGGACTCTCTGCTCTGGGACGATGGCCCGAGGCAGCTGGCAGGCGGGGAGGGGGGCGGGGCACGCACCTGCGCGGAGTTAGGGGGCCGGGTGTTGACCCTCCAGAGCAGCTTGCTGCCTGGAATGACCTGCACGGTGTCCTGCGCCTCCGGCACGGCGTCCACCACATCGCCATCAGCCTTCTCGGGGACGTCGTCCTGAGAGACAGAGCACCCAGTGTGGTGACCAGAGCGCAGCTCTCCCGGGCTCCCCAGCACCAGCTCCCAGCCCCGCGCAGGGTGAGCACAGAGGACTGCTCGCCCTCTCCTTGGGGGCATGGTCTCCGGAGTCTGACCACCACTGGGTGGGGGGACACCGTCTCAGACAGCTCAGGGTAAATCTCCTGAGCGGTCACGTCTGGGCCGAGGGCCTCCCCACAGGCCGTGGTTCTGCTCTCAGCCGAGAAGGGAGCCATACTGGCTGATTTCACGGTATCTTAGCCTTTCTAGCCCGAACCCCAACTGGAGAGCGCATCTTAATGAAAAGATGCAACTGGGGGAGGGTATAGCTCAAGTGGTAGAGCGCATGCTTAGCATGCACAAGGTCCTGGGTTCAATCCCCAGCACCTCCTCTAAGAATAAATAAATAAATAAGTAAAATTACTTCCCCACCCAAAACAAAACAAAATTTAAAAATTAATATAAGTTACAACTGCACTCATTTGTCAAAATCAGTGGGACCTGGAGAAGGAAGAGCGAGGTCATTCAAGCAGCCGTTAGGAGAGCACACTGAGACGGTGGCAGACTCGACCAGGGACGCCCCCCCAACCCGGTGCAGGGCCTGGCACCGCTGCCCGTGGGGGTGTGGTTTGATGCCAGAAGCTGAGGAAAGACACAGCTCAACGAGAGGTGTCCACAGAACCTCCATCTCATCCTGAGGTTGCCCAAAGGAGCAAGAAAGCTAAGCCAATGCTTAGGAGACATCACTAAGCAGATTCAACGTTCTACTGTAGAGTTTTAAATGGAACTTTGTTTTAACTTAAAAGAGCATTATTTTAAAAGACGTCTAACGGCACACACGAAATAACACGATATTAAAACACACTGAAAGTCCTAGCAGAGGTTGAATATTTTGTTAGATAAATATTGAACACCTGGGGTTTGGTACATTCTAATTTATTATCTAGAAAAAAATGACACCTCTTTTGAACTGACTCCCAATTTTAGGCTCAAGAAGAACTAGTCTTAAGGTAATCAGTATTTCAAAATATGCTCGCCAAAATCTTCCGACTGCTGGATATGTGACCTGGTCTTCAGAAGTGAAAACGCAGAGATGACATTCACGTGACATTTAATAGGTCAAAGCTAACAGGGTGCGGGGAGACAGGAGATTTATCAGTAAGTACCCAGGAAAAAACGGCCCAGAGGGATAGATGCTCAGAAGGATGAGCCCCAGGGAAGCCGGGCCGGGGTTCCAAGGGCAGCCTCACACGGCCAGGATGCAGGCAAACTCCCCGCCTGCCGAGACTCAGGCAGACGGGCACCTCACTCTTAGACGGGGCTCTGCGCATCGCTCCTTCCCAGCCAGGCTGCAAAGGCCCTGCACCCCCAGTGAGGGGCAGGCACGGCCACTCCCCAGAGCTGGCCTCCAGCAGGGCCGGCCCGGGCCATCGGATGGGCCCCCCCGCTCCGCCGGGGACGCCCACACCGGCAGCCCCTTACCGGCCTCACCTTTCTCAGGGAGTCGCCTCTCCTCTCCTGCTTCCTGAAGGACTCGTAGGCACCAGGGTCCACGCCCCACAAACACTCCGTCCACTTGCCATAGATCATAAAGAGCTTCTTCCTGCTGTGGTCAAAGGGGGAGTTTTAAAACCAAGTTCACAGCAGTTATAAACTCTTCATCTAAGCAAGCAGCACCTTAATTTTGACCATGGACTAAGTCCCTGTTCTGGCACGTCTTCTTATGAACTTCAGGGAGATCACTGGACACAAAAGCAAAGGTGGAACGCTGCATTCTAGCATCTCTTTTCATGCCGTTTGAAACTGACTATTCGTGCTCACACCAAAGCAGAAATGCAGAAATGAAGGTACAAAATCCAGAAGGGAGGAAGACAGGCTGCGGGCACAGGGCGGGGGCAGGTGTGAAACAGCTGACGCGCCTGATTACTGCCTCAAAGACACGCCACAGTTCCACATGCCGCGCGTCCTGCAGCCCTTTTCTATAAATGCCACGCACAGCCCTTCTGCTCAGCTGACACTGTCTTATCTTCATGACCACAGGCGGACGCCCCTGTCGGCACCCGCCTGCACTTTTCATTTAGCAATAACCTCCAGAGATCTTTCTAGATCAGCCACCAGGAGCTCTCGGCCTGGTTCCAAAGGAACAATGCCAACCGTGTTGGGCCCTTGTTTTTCTTTTTTGCCTCTGCCTGGAGGGGAGAGAACACAGTGGCCACTCCATCCCTGGAAATTCTGCTCCACTAGCTACAGGACATACCAGGAGGGCACCTGTGTCCCGGAGGCTCGGCCCGGAGAGCTGGCAGGTGGGGAGTCGTGGCCAGCTTCCTGCAGCAGCCAGCTTGGAGGACTTTAGGAAGGAGCTCAGTCCAATTTGGGGTGGAAAACCAGAAACTCAGATCTGGGTCTGCACGGCTCGCTGAGGGCTGGGGGGGCGTGGCCCTGATGTCGTGTCCGCGGACGCGCTGACCAGCCTCTCCCTGGGCAGATTCCGCAGGGAGAGGCCACTCACAGAGCTGTCCACGCTGGTCCCAACAGGACCACTGTCCTGTGAGGTCCGCACACTGAGCCCTGACGCATTTCAATGGGTACAGTGGTCTGACCTTGAGTCTAGAGGCATGTTAAGGCCATCTGAACAAATGAATGCCTGGCACCAGGGTAGGTGGAGCAAGAGCGCCCACCGCTTTGGCCTGGAGACTTGTTTCTGCTGGAGAATGTACAGACGTTAGGGGCTGGGAGGAGTCTGACAGCCATTATATGGCCCAAACTACTTACTGAAAAAAAAGAGAAATTTGAGACCTAACACATGAGGTAACTAACTGGGGGAAACCCAGAAAATTTGTTAAAATAGTACTGGCCATTCCTCTGCTCCCCAAACCGCTGGAAGACTCCGGCTCACAGATGGACAGGCAGCCACACGAGCACAGTGCTCGTCAGCGGGGCTTCGCGTCTCGCCTGACAGCAGACAAGCGAGGCCAGCAGGAGGAGGACACGCAGGGTCAGACTCTAAAACCTCGCTCTGCCTGTGCGGCCGTGGCGCCGGCAACAGGGAGACGTCTGACCTCTCACGTCCAGTTCATCACAGCCAAACAGGCCCAGATCTCTCACCCTCAAGAGCGGGGAGCCGCTCCATCACGCACCGAGAAATCACACCTAGCTTAGCCCTGTCTCCTTTGTGCTCAGCGAAGAAATGCTGTTTCCTGAACAAGAGTCGTAACTTTTCTACCACGGACAGACGTCCCCCTCACAATGCCATCTTTCGTGGAGAACGCACGCGGCACTGCACCCCGTGATCCAACCCACGTGCGGACCTACTTTTTGTCTTGAATGTAGCCTTCCACTTTGTGAAGTTCCTTTCCAAACAGTCCACATGGTTTAAAGTGAAGCACACACTTGTCTCCAGTTCTGTGGGAAAAACAAACACAGGCTTCTATTGTGGCCACCACACGTCCAGAAAAGGTAAAGACAGAGAGAGAGCGTGCGCAGGCGGGTGCTGCCCGGCACAGGGGCAGCGCGGTGAGTGACCGCAGACAGGCACGGGGACCTTCCCGGGTGATGGCAATGTCCTAGCACAGCCTTGTGGTGACGGCTACACAATTCAGAACGTTTCCTAAGAATCATCTGAATGTCCACTTTAAGTGGGTGGATTGTATGATACATAAATTATATCTCAACGAAGCTGTTAAAAAACAAAGCCAGCCAGCCAGGAGCTTCCAGGAGTACAAGGCAAGGCAGGCTGGACAGTGGGCAAGCCTTCTCACTGGCGATCACACGGATCTGCAGTGCAGGTTACAACATCAAAGCAGATGAACGGCTGTGACTGCGAGCAGAGCGAGCACCCATGTGGCGCGCTGCTGGCGGCTCCTGCCGATGCCGATCAGAATCAGCTCCAGCCGCCACCCGCGTGAGGTCTCCCGCCTGAAGCTGAGGGGCACGAGCGATGGTGGGGGGACCCCGAGGAGCCCGGAGGAGCAGGAGAACACGGCCTGGGGTGCAGCAGGCACCACGGGGCGCCCCGGGGCCGTGGCCGCTACCTGTGGTTCACGATCTCCACCGTCCCATACTGTTCTATCCAGAGCTTCCCGATGATCACGTTGTGCACACAGCAGGTGGGGTTGGTCCAGGTGTAGGCTTCGTTATGTCTGAAACGAGCCCAAGAACAGGTGCATCAGAGGCCAGCAAAGCAAAGACACTGTGTGACCTCAAAAGCAAAGTACCAGACGGAATTAAACCGTAATTGACTTAAAACCTGGCGAAGGGCAGAACACTGCTTTGAACTCCCTCCAACAGCAGCTAATGTTTCACGTTTGTTTGAAATGTCCTTCTTTCCTTTGTAGCATCAACAAAGCTTTCTACTTCAATGTCGAGACACATTAATAAGCAATAAAAGGCAGACGAAGACAAGAGGCTTCCTGTGAAGTTGCCAACAGAACAGCCCCTCAGCCCCGTCCTGCGGGAGCAGCGCGGTCCTGGGCACCTGGCCCTGGCGGCCCGAGGCGCCGTGCGGGGCGGGGAGTGGGGGCTGGGCGTGCACACACCTCTCCACCAGCCTGCGTCCTCCCCAGACGCCTCCCCAGGAGAAAAGAAACCCCACACGTGAGGGGAGCAGACCACCAGGCCCGGGGCTGCGTCAGAGCTGTAACCGAGGGCGGAAGCCGCGAAGCACACTGGCATTTCGTGACGAATATTTGGATTTCCTTGAATTTCCCAGCAGAACCCAGAAGGTCTGCAACTTTCCAGCTCCCCACGCCTCCCCTGAGAAAGCCAAGACCACGCGGGACAAGCACATCTCCCTGAAGGGGCTGCCCTCCCCGCCGAGGGACTTCTGCCCGAGGTGCATGGGGCAGGGGGGCAGTACTGGGGAGATAGGGCTCCTCAGCCAGGGGGGCCCCAGGAAGCAAAACCACACCAGGAGCTTCCTTACAGGCCCACCCCTCGGGGAGCTGCTGCGCACCTGGCCTGGACTGAGTCTGCGACGGGCCTGCCACACCACGCGGCTGCGAGACTCGAGACTCGGGTTTGGCCGAGGCTCTGAGCGACATGGGATGGGGAGTGCTGAGGTGGGACTGAAGATGCACAGGCGGCGCGGACATGGTCCCTGCTGCTCCCCCTCCCGGAGTCTGAGCCCCACGTCACCCCTCCTACACTCGTCCAGGGCTGGTCTGCGAGCTGACAGATGTGTGGGGGGCGGTTAAGGTGACGGCTACTCCTGAGACTAGGTCAGGTCCTGGTGCCACTCCCCACAGTGGTCCTGGCCCTGGGGGTGGCAGCGCTGCGTCTGAACAGCCCTATGAAGAGGCGGGCAGCCAGGACCTGAGGGCTCCGGCTGGCAGACAAAAAGCAAGCTGGGAAGCAGACGTTCCGTCTGGCCCGCGGCCTGACCGCACCCCCACGGGACCCCGACAGACACCCCGCCCCGCCCCTAGGAGCTGCATGCGCCCAGACCGCCGGGGTAGGGGAGAGGATGGGCGGGTGCAATCAGCACGGACTTTATAAGGAGAGCTCTCCGAGGATCAGCCTGGCCCCGGCGGAGTCTCCAGCCCAGAGCTCTCCTTGGAAGACGTCTCAACCGCGGGAAAGGCTGCCCACCCCAAGAACACGCACGAGCCCTCAGCCAGAGGGCATCCCTGTCCTCAGCGGAGGTGGATCTCCTCCCGCTTACCTGAGCAGCTCCAGCGTGATGGTGCCCCGCGGCTCGGCCTCCACGCTCTTGCCCCAGAACCTCAGCTTCGGGTAGATGGAGCCGTGGAACAGGAAGTCCCGGTGCAGGCCCTCCGAGTAAAATGCGCTGACGGGGGGGTGGTGGCTGACCTGCTCGGAGATAAACCTGAACCCCAAATCTTCCCTGGGTACAAAAACAGGAAAAGAAGGGGAGGGGCAGGAGGGACAGTGACAGAGCCTCATCAGCGCCAGCAAAACCCAGTGAGGTCAGCCCAGCACCCCCTGCCCCCCAGTGCAGCCACAGCTCGACCCACAGGAGCCCCACCCCCGAGTCTGGGAGGGGCCTGGGATGATGGGGCCACGCTGGGCTGCCACACGTGGCAGATACCTGACACTGCCCTCGACGTCACAGGTGGCCTAACGCTGACCACACACACGCTGCACGCGTGCACACACACTGTGCCTCCAGGGCCAGCATGAGCCCTACACAGGAAAATGATGGTGCGGAGAGGCCTTCCACCCTGGCCCTCTGCTCAGCCCCCACACAGGTGAACAAGCAGCTCTTAGAACCAGTGACTCAGAGGCCTGAGAGCAAACTGTCATCCTAGCTTCGAGGGACACCCACTGCACAATAAACTCAGAGAAGGACCTCACAGCCTTCCCGAGGGGGCTCCTCTCCAGCCTTCTTCCAAGGCTCCTGGATTTTTTGTGATGAGATGTCTTATGCCCCAAGATATTTCTGGCCAGGAAATAGGATTTTTAGTGCAGTCTCTTTTTCAATAAAAATGTCATTTTTTAATTGTTCCAGAACTGTGAATACACCTACAGTTGTAGTCATTAAAAATTATAAAAGCTAAACCACATAATTACTAGCTTAACTGGAATCAGACTTTCCAATCATTACAGAGGAAAGAAAGTTGAAGAAATTAGATTTTAAAAGGTTGCCTACCAAAGTATGTAATTTACAAAATGAATAGATGTCTAAGAAAAGAAAGTGTTATTTTTAGCTCCCCAAGAGCAATCCTAAGGAGGAAAAGACACTGGTGAGCGACTGGGTTTAGTCGTGTCGCTCCCCAGACAGGGGGATGGCTCCATCTCGCACGCACCAGGCGCGGAGACGCCGGTGGGAGCGGGACCTGCCGGAGTCTGAGACGTGGCTGTCTCCTGTCAGTCTGTGGAACTGCGTTCAGCCCGAGTCAAGCCCGGAAAGAGACGAACAATCAGGGGTCACGCTGGACTCGGCGTCTGGAGTCGTTCACGTTTTTTTTAACACATCTGCTCACTTTCCGGTGTCCAGAATTTTTTTCGTATTATGCTTTGATTTCTCTTTTCACATATTGCAATGATGCTGCTAATAAACCAAAATGCTAACAATCTTCCAGCAGCTGGATGAGAAGACTTTCCGACACAGGCACAGAAGCACACTGAGCGGAGGGAGGAGACCGTCGCTCAGCCCAAGCGTGCCGGGCAGGAGGGACACTGCATGAGGTCAAGACCAACAGGTCCCCTTGAGAGCGACACTCCAGGCCAGTCTCCCCTCGCCTGCAAACTGAAGACACAGGACTGTCCCTCCTGCCGTGACGTGCCGGGACCCCAGGTCCCTGCTG